TCTGTCTTAAATTTGTAAATTTATTATGACCTTTCCTTTAATATTGATTTCCCTCAGCTGCCTTCGGTATTTTAATGTCCAAAATGTGATAGGTTAAATTATGCCAGTTCACTATGTGTGTGGCCCAAGTGTTCTGAACAAAGCTAGGGTTAAATACATATTTAAACTACTGTAATGTGTAGACTGTAGAGCCAAACAATACTTAAAATGTTTCAGGCTGCATGATTAATTTCACACTGCTCTACAATTACTGTATATGGTAAAAATGAGACTATGTGAGCTTAGCTGCTCTTTCAAGGTACTTGAATAACATACAGAGTTCAATTGAACTTGAACCTTGAAAAACCTTATCACATGGTTTATATCATATATGATGGATAATTTTATTTATTTCTCAATAAACAGAAGAAAAAGATTTTTGCTAGTTTTGTTTTTAAAGAAAGATATGATGAAGAGCATTTATTGCAGTGCTGGACATCCCTTGAATTGAAGGGAATTTTTCTGCGCAATTATAATGACTCTAGGGTAACCTCACCTGCGAGTTTGCTCTGTCTGTATGATAGGGTTTGTCTCGAGTGTTTGGACCAGAGTGTGGGCTGTGACATTAGCTACTATAACTGTGACCAGGCTTCCTTGAACATCACACAACTGGCTGAGCAATGCCAGGGTTTCCTCAGCTATTCCATACTGAGAGTGTATAAGGAGAGAATGACAAAGTTTTAGAAGACCCTACGTGACAGGGCCAAGTGTCATGAGCAACCCAGACCCAGATTTCTCTTATGGCACAGAACCAGGTTTTGTAGTGTAGAGGAGTTAACTGCTGCCCAGAGAATGGAGCCAGTCGAAGCTCTAAACCCATGAACAACTGTGATGAAATCCAGGTAGTTTGACACTCAGAAATTTAGATCAATAAAATTTTGATTGTATTTACAGTGCCTATAGAAAATCTAACACCCGTTCCTTTCCAAACGAACACATTTTGTGCTCTAACAGCTTGAACTCAAGACCCACTAACTCAAAATGTACTGTATTTATGGTTTGGGTTTCTGATTTTTATTTTTTCTTAGTTATTATTACTTATTTCTACCAAGTTAAACAAATTCCTCAAACCACTCATTCCCTTAAACACCACTTTTTCTCTACTGTCTCCATTTTGTTTCTGTTTCTTTCATTTTGCCTCACTATTTCCTTATCCATAACTATGGAAGTGAATTTGTGAAGTCAGACTTAGTTTTCATGTTAGGTATGACAAAGACAAAGTCCTTCAGGTGAGTGCACTTTCTTGTATTTTTGTGCTAGGAAAAAGGGATTATTTTTTTCTGAGAATGTTTGCCTTTATTTGCAACATCTTCTCATTTTAAAGTTTAAGAACACATACTTTAAATGAAGATCTATAACTCTACAGAAATGCGGTATAGTGTGGCTTACTTTCTAATATCACCCCTTAATTCTTCAGTTTTGATTGATATTCTAGCACGGTGCTGTCCAGAGATAAGGTTACTACATTGGCTTTATGGTGGTGATGGGAAATGCCATGTAGTATGACCTCAGTCTTGTCAAGTTTAAGTAAATGAAATTTTGAGTCATTTAGGTTTTTTTTTATCAGAGATGCAATTAGAGAGAATTGAAACAGCTACTTCAGTTTCAGGTTTAGTTTGGACATATATTTGAGTATTCTTAGCATTAAATTTTGATACTTCAGACTATGTGATTTTAAAATCTGACCAAGTGGAAACATGTAAATGCTGAATAGCAAGGGACCCAGTATTGAGCCTAGGGGAACACCAGATTTAACTAATCCAGCTTTAAAACTAAAACCCTCAACAGAAGAAGTGTCAGCTATGAGTAAATTACCAGTTGAACAATTTAAGAGAAAAGTCAGAAACTCCAAATATAGACTAAAGATGGGAGAGTAAAATGTCCAAGGTAGCACTTAGATCTAATGTAGATGAATTAGGATAGACAGAGAAATTGAATCAGCTGCCATAAGAAAATAGTAACTTGAGTAATGACGGCTTTTTACTCTTCATCTTTTAATGCTACTGTAATATTGATGTTTTTATGAAGGTGATATGAATGTTATCTTGCTACATCAACTTTGTCTGATAGTAATCTTACTATATGTTTAGTTTATATGTTGTTTTCAATGCAGGTAAAACACTCACAACTTAAAACGATTTAATTGATGTACAAAATAAGTTTAACACATTTCTCACAGCTAATATGTATAAGAAATCAAATTTTGACACCTATAAAACTTCAGTGCATAGATTTATACAGTATATAGAGTACTAAATATAAAATAAATAATTAAGTCAACAACTGCAAAGATTAAGATGTTCAATCATACCTCTAATCTAACATTCCAGGAATATATCTCTTGTTGCTGTCTTTTTGTTTAGATGAGATTTATCACCATTGTCATCCTCTCATCCTGGTGTTTGAAATGTTATGAGTGACATGTATTGTGGGTTGAATTTTGCATGCCCCACAAAGTGTGATTGCACAATCTGCAAATATGTTTGGGCCTTTTTCTACAAGCAGTTAAGAGTAATTTACTTGTCTACTTGATACTTTACTCCCTCCGCTGAATTTCTACAGTTCTTGTCTCTGTGAACTCTCTCAGGGCAAGTAGTGTGCCACTTACTGTACTTCCTTGCCTTGGAGGCTACAGCAAAGTATTTTTACATGTCAGCAGAGACTGTATCCAAGAGAACCTCATTGCTGAAAGGGATAGGAAGAGTAGACAGAGGTTCTCATCTAAGACTTTTACAATTGATCTTTTCACAATGATGTTGACCTTATCTGGTAAATATGACAATAAACAGAAAAAGGGTGAATAAATTAAGAAGCAGTTTTACTCTTTAAAGGAGTAGCAACTTCTAACAGAACAGGTGTCTGACATCCTGAATCTAGAAAGCCATAAATGGAAACCTCCGCTTTTAATTCCAAGCGATTACTTAATCATGACACTTGTAGCTTAATGTTTTTTCATGACTGAATGAACTTGCTTCTAAAACCAGGATTAAGGAATTATTACTGTGTCCAAGTTAAACACAAGGAGCAATGGGACTCATACCTCCCATTTACAACAGCAAAGGATCCCTCTCATACCGAAGTAGTCATTAAATATAAAGAAGGCAACGTTAATCACTCTTTGAAGAAAAATAATTGTACTGTATGTATATCAATTACAGTCTTGCATTTTAAAACCATAAACACTTATAAAATTCTATTCCATTAGATCTAACCAAATCCGGATTCAAATGCCTATTCCTGAAAGAACAAGCTTTAAATATCCAATTTTTTTTTCTAAGCAGGAAACACGGTTGTTGTAGTCACTAGAATTAATCTTAATAAGAGAAAGATTCAATACTGAATGAATTGTACTGGCTGTCAGCGAACACAAATTAGGTTTCCTTTCAACGTGACAGGAGGCATCAGCAGGGCTCATCATTTTGAGCTGCGATGAGGTTATCAGATACTGGGGAGCAAGTGCAGTAAATGTCACTGCTCTGCAGAGGGATTCAGCAAAGAGAAATGAGATCAACATGGAGAAACAAGCACCTTTGTTGGGGCAAACCTGTAGCAGCAATCACTTCAGCCACAGCAGTACTCTTTTCACTGAGAAATTGATTTGATCTGGCAATTCATTTCCATGTTCAATAATGGACTTTCATTAAGTCAGGCTTTTACAGATTTGCATTTACACCTATGTGTCACCATCTCCTTCAAAGCTGTCATTTTTCGTAACGCTTATATGGGAACAGAAGTCTCTTAATGTGCTTACAGCAGGTATATGTGTGGAAATATGTTTGCACATTACAGATTTGGTAATCTGTATTTTATTAAAATATTAAAACAGGATTTTTAATATTGTCACCATCTTTAACAACTGCAATATTTCCATTTTCTTGATCTGTACTGAATTCCTAGCTAATTTAGTCACAATTCCCATCATTTCTGTGTGTTTTACAGATAATCAAGGAGACTATAGTACTCACAGGGCATCCCTCCTCTCCTGCTTCCACCCAAGATGATTCTCTTGCTGTCAAAACCTGTAGTTCCCATGTAGTTCTTACGAATTAAGAAACCCAAGTTAATTGGTTTAAATAAATAAACAGATATAAAAATTGTTAATTGAATCATAAAACCTTATAAGTTATAAGTTTTATGAGAATGTTTGTATTATGATGTAAAGACTATTTTATTACTTTCTGGTTTGAATGGACAGGGCAATTAGGCTAGATTGTTCTATTTACATAAAGCCAAGTGTTGCTTATATACAGTATGAATTTTAACAAAAATATATTTTTTCTTCTCTCAGGGCACCTTGATCTTTTTTTATTTGACATTGCAGAGACAGAGTAAAAATTCCTGCTGTGGTCTCCAATGAAAAAAAATCCTTTGCAGCATCATTTTCCTGCCGCTGTGAAAAACATCATTTTAGGCTGAATGTAAGTCAGAACAAAGTCATTCAAAGTGGGACGTGCTATGTGGATTCAAAAGTCAACCTGTACTCACTGTCCTGGTTAAACATTTATTGTTTAAAAGTTTTATTTTTATCTTTTGGTGCATAATTTTCATTAAGTGCATAAACTTGCCAAATGTTTTGCCAATATTTAGCAGCTTCAAGTATGAAGTATCTAGTAGTAGAAACCGGAAACAAGACTCCCAATATGTATCTTTTTTTCATTTTGATTTAGAAGTACAAGTTCTAGAATATACTAGACCTATTCAGTATTAAGTTTGTTTCTTTTTATTCCAGTTCCTAAAATTCCTGTTTTGGGGATATTGACAATCACACTTCTCATTCCAGGTAGTTAGGTTTCACAGTTCTTACCAGTAGTCATTAAGCATGATGAAGCAAAAACACCTGATACCCACCGTGCAATTTGTCAGACATTCTTTACAGTAACTATTGTATACTCTGAGGATTTTGAGTCAAGCTTGCATGATTTCTCAGCTGCTTCAGATAGAGAGCTATAAAAAGCACTTACTGTGGTGACATACTGGATATCCCTCCAGAGTTTTGTCTCCCTTGGAAAATCGGGCAAGTCTAAAAAGTTATCCACCACCACCTGGCCAATCATGTCGTGCCTGGAGAATCTGTCGAAGTCGTACACACTGAAGTGCAGCTTTCGCGTGGGTAGCTCATTATAGGAAACGGGGAACAAAAACACCTCGTCGAACACGGGGTTCAGAGTTTTTCTGTGCACTTTAGTCTGGTGTTTTGTTTTGCGATCTGGGAGCAAATATATTTTGACGTAAGGGTCAGAGGTGCCAGAGAAGTCCTTAGCCGGCAGGTCCTGTGCTTTGTGGATTTTGACAATCAGCTGCTCCAAGTCACAGTCGTATTTGAGGATAAAATTGAGCTTCCCACAGGATTTGCTGTTATTTCTCCTACCATCATCCGTATCAACTGATCTCTGTTTGTACAGCTCTGGTTTAATCCTCCCAAGCCCAGTGAGTGACTCCTGCCTTTGAAACTGTGTGATGTTGAAATCCGGGTTGGAGAGATTTAGTTGCCTTCGGATCGAATTGTGCCTTCAGAGGAAGGAGAGACAGGCGTAAATGTGCTATTAGAGTATCATGAATCATTCAAATTATAGTAACAAGTACATTATGGAAAATATGATGTATTCCTAAAGGTCTAAAGTTTCCCTGCTGCTCTGCAGAAAGATATCCTTTATCTCAACAGCACAAATGAATGCAAAACCCTTTAAGAGCTGTTTAAGAGCCCTTCTCTTGCCTGGAGGTTAGGCACTTACTGTAGTTTTTCATATCAAACACTCTTTTGGATACCACATGTTTACTCTTTTTTCTCCATTCTTTAAATGAGATATTAACATTTTGATAAGGATGTTGTAAGTTACAGGCAAACAAAGCTTTTTAGATACTAGGTTGTTTCTATTTAGATCAGTCTATGGTGGGCAGATGGACAGAAAAACATTAGTAAACTTTTACTAAGGAGTATTGCTTTTGGCAGATTGGGAGCCCAGCATGTCTTTTTTCCTTTGGTTGCTTTTCCTCTTTTTTCAATCTCTTAACAGATGTACACAGAAAAGGTGACTTTGTGTTCACTAACAATCTCTTCAAAGCCTTGGTTATGCTCCTTACTGTAGCCATTGCTAATGTTTAACTGATTTTCATGTGGCTGAGTTAATGACAGGTCTCGTTCACATTATTCAGAAGGAATAATCCCTGGAGAACTGGATGTTTGTGGATGTTTAGTTATAGTGAGGTTTGGCTTAACTCGCTTAGCCGAGAACCAGCCCCTTGGCCACAGAACTAGAAGGCTGGGACCCCAATTCACAATTAGAAGCTGCAAAGATTGGGATGTGGTTGAGGAGGGATGTGTAGAATCGCAAAAATTCTACACATATGTACACCATATGTAAAGAGAGCTTTACATATGGTGTACTGTAGCTTTCAGGAAATGCTGCTGGAAATGATGATTATTATTTAGTACAGCTGTGGTGAAAGTGACTTGGTTGTCATGTCTCCTGAACTTCAGCTGAGACTACCAATTTGTCCCAATTTTAATATATTCTACAGTATGTTACTCCAGTCTAAATAAAAAATACTTCTTGATAAATAGTGGGACAGATATATTTATATCTAAAGTCTAGAAAAGAACTTTAAAAGATGCAGAGTAAGTAGTAAAGTTTAGAGTTGTGATCTGATAGCCCAGGTGCACCTGACCTTGGAAAGGGAACAAAATGTCTAAATTCATCAAATGAACTACTATATGTTTTAAAAAAATACAGAAGTGCTTTATTTTTGCACTAATGTATAAGATCGCCATAGAATAAGTTAAACCTATTGACCAAATAATGATTTTTTTGTTCGCTGCCACTGTTTTGCCATAAGTGAGAAGCAGATCATGACCTGTGGGATAATAATGTTTAAGGAGTTTAAACTGAAAAAGTCAGCTGTAGATGTTCTTGTTAAAAATGAGACTGTCAGTTGTACACTCAGTAAAACTGTGGCTATTCTGTCTTTATTCTGCAAATCTAATGACAGCACAAGGAGTGAAAGGGAAACTAACCGAACGGAAGAAGTGGGTTCCGTGATCTGCCTCTGCATGCGAGCATTGTGGAGGCAGTTCTCTTTCGGTTTGGACTGGGCCTCCAGGGGGATATCGGGGGAGGTGTGACTGATTTTCATGGCAGACTCGGGAACGGTGGTCGGCTCCTTCATGTAATCCTCGCTGTACTCATTGTCGTTGACCTCGGTGTCCGTGTACACGGGCTGCTCCAGCTGGCCGGCTTTGGTTCCGGCTGACGGGCCCCGCTCACGCCATGGGATCCAGCACAGCTTCCAAGACACAAAGAGGGAGACCCCGAACAACGCAAGACCGCACGCAGTCACCACCAGAGAGAGCAAGCTCACCGAGACATCTGCAAGGCACAAAACACGGCACTATTCAACACTTGATTGTTCCTTAAGGAAATTCCACTTGATTGTACAGGAGATAGATAGATAATATTTTATTAATCCCGTAGGGAAATTGATTAAATTTAATCAATTTCCCTGAAATGAAGTCTTGGTAAACAACACGAAATAGAAGTGCATCAAATATGTCATATACTGTGTACAGTATATAACTAACAGCAATATCTCACACAATCCTCATAACAAATAATCATATTAGAAAAAACTAATCACACCTGCCATATCTTAAAACTGTTAAAAATCCAGGACTTATACGGTCTGTTATGAAGATTAATATTGTACAGTACAAATAAACTTTGGAATCTGTTTTAAGGGATTCTTAATTAGAAGCTGGATGATTCATGGGGATAATCAAGGGATGCGTTATTTTACAGGATAAACTGTATTTGATTTTCCTGTCCTAATGTAGCATTACAGAAGTTGGATAAAAAAAACATATTAGAATAACTTCTTGCATTTATAAAGGGCTTTTTATCTTAAAGGATCCCAAAATGCATTATGTCTAGGAGGGGACCCACTTTATGTGCACTTGATGGGCAGCACCCCCCTGGGGGACAAGTAGAGAATGTTGAGCTGCTGATGCAGAACTACACACCAGAGTTAACGAGGAAATTTGGTGAAGTAAAATCATTCAATTCCAAGTGAAAACATAGCTAGCATACTGAGGTTGAGTTTTGACAATGCCCTAAGATCTTTAATGATGTCAAAATGAGGTTTTAACTTTTAGCTGAAGAATGGCTTCTGGGCAAGCATAGTGTCCCAGGTCTCCATGCTTTGGCGGTGGTCCAAAATGTTCTGGTCCAGAGGGAAGATTGCCAACTACTGGTCCATTTACACTTCTTTCGGGTTTTGCGCAAAGGTGTACAGCATGATGTCATGACTGGCAAAATAGGTAATTTAGGTAATTTAGTTGTCTGGCAAGAACTACCAGAATAGGTGTCTTATCAATAGGCTTTCAGATACTTTAAAATGAGAAGTATGTATTTGAGAGAATGAGAGAATGTGTATTTGTTATATTGCAGTAGATAAAGAGCAGACTGATCTAGATAAATGCAAACTTAGGCACTGGCTCTTGCAACATACCTAGAATATCGTGTTAGTATGAGTATTGAATAAAGCCAGAAGGAATATACACCGCTAGAATGATTTAACTGTGAACTGGTCACACTTTTTGCCTGATGTGTAATACATGATGCCTAATGAGTGTACTGTACTTACTGTATATATATAGACAGCATTCCCACAACATTTCTTGTGTTGGACTATTTTGAGATGTTGTAACAGTGCAGGTCTCTCTCTTGGAAGACATACATACTGTAGCTGATGACATATTCATTGTATTTAAAAATGATCAAGTAGTAACACTTTTACCAGATACCAGATGACCAGATTCAAAATGAAGTACTGTAGAACTCTAGGGAACTACATAGGATATCCAGAAGTTATTCCCGTGTTCTTCAATCAGAATTTATTAAGTATTTTCAAACAAAAAGAATTCAGAATAAAATAGCTTTGCAAGTTTCATGAATTTACTGTACACAAATCTTTCTGTTCGCATCACATTCTAATTAAAAAAATAAAAACATTATTTTTACACTGATTAAAATGTAGATGATACAACCACCTACTAATAACACTGTATACATACATGCCTTTTTCAACAGTGTTTTGCAAAAGACAAATAGTAAAGTAAAACGAAATAATTATTATGCTACTTGAAGATTAAGAAGGTTTTGAATGCTTACAACTCTTTGTCTAGTTTCATGCTTGCTGGTGTAAAACAGCAGTATGACCTCTGAATATTAAGATCAACCCATAGAATTTCATTCCCTCTAGCAGTATTTAAATTATTAGTATCTTCACAATGTTAAATAAGCCCCCAGTTGTAGATACGAAAATGCAGCAAACATTTAACTTTAAGGAAACTGCATTTTAAAAATGTTCAAAAATCACTGTAAAAGTACTGTAAAAGTGTGTCTTGGGAAATTTCTAAATGTACAATTCTATATCATAAATAAACGAACACTGGGAAATACAGTATTTCCTGAAAGGTACTGTGAGAACATTTCCCCTGTTTTTTGTGGATCGTACAGTATGAAATGTATAGTGCTAACGTTTTTGTAAATAAAACCTCTGTCAAATTTATCACACATAAAGGACATTACTATGTATGTTTATCAACTACTCTATATTATTATGGTTTCCATGTGTAGTAACTTGTATAAATAATTTCAGAATTTTGACTAAATTGATATGTATAATCTATTTTTATATCCTTACCAGAAACCAAAACTGTGCGGCTTGAACAAAGATCCAGATATTTAGAATTTACAGCGGTTGCCTTATAATCCTAATTTCATGTACTGATTATTGATATATATGTAAAAGCATCAACCAATATATGGGTTGGTAATTGCTATGTGCATTAGTAAATCTCTCAATCTCTCAATACTGTATATAAAGGGATTTACCTTGAGCAATGAACTGATATAAGTGAATACATTTGCAAAATGTGATTCAGCTGGACATCACATTTAATAGAAACCATTATTTGTCTAAATTAGCACAGATATTACACACATTATTCACTGGAGTGAGACCCAGCTGTACCGCACATAATTATGTAAAGGTGTGTAAAAAGATTAAAACTGGCCTCCACATCTTTCTAAGAGGCAAAAGTCTTATTTACAAAATGTTTAATGTTTTCCATATCTTACATTTCATTAACATATAAATCTGTGCAGTCTGTATGAATGTATCTTAATAATATGTATGTGGTAATGTACATATTATTAACATGGTAAATGATAAAAAAATAACATGTTAATTGTATTTTGGTAATACAATTGAAATTCCTAGAAAAGTATGAAATGCACTTTAAATCATACAGTAATGTATGTATGGATTAATCATATGATTTCCCTGTTCTTCATGAAATACAAACAGCTATGTATGAAGAACATAGCTGTTTGTTTCTGTACTAAAATGCAATACAGTTAATGTTTTATAGTCTCTGAATTTTTAATCTAATTAGACAGGAAATAAGGCAACATTTCTTATATAAATGCACATTAAGTCACAATGTATTTACAAGCTATTTATGGCTACTGTACATAGTATTTCCATTTTGTTTTGTGAACAAGAGTGTTTTTGTGAGATAAAATAGATTTATGTTTTCAGGATTAATGTCCGTGCATGCAGTAAGTAAGACACTGGGAAATTAAGAAATCAGCCTCCTACCCCACCCTACCCTGCTCTGTGTTGAAATAACAAATTACAATAATTACTTACAGTGATAAACTAAAAATGTAGAGGAATTAGCCATTTAGAGTCATCTGGCTTCTCATCATTACAGAAGAAAAATTAGCTGATTAGTCATGTTAACTGAAATTAAAAAAAAAATGAATGCTCAATTTCATTTCATTTATTCTGGATGTTATTTTGTTTGAATAAATCTTTCAGATGCATTTCAGTAGCCTGTTAATTGTTTGGTAAACATAAATTACTTTGCTTAATAGCTTAATAATGCTGACATACTGTACACTAGTATTCTGAAAACTATTATATGTGGGTTAAGTATGATTTGTTAAAGATTAATTTTTCATGTTTGTTTATGCACACATTACCAAGAAATGCTTGAAGTCTGGAGTATGTCCTTTTAGGAAAGTTTTACAGAGTTCTTCAAAAACTCGAATTTTACATTCCTTCTGTGGTTCAAATGGGCTCATCTCAGATATGCTCTAATTGACACATACTGTCCATCTTCCCTACATGAGAAAAAAATTGTAACTTTTTCCGTGGTAGGTCAGATCTCAAGATCTAATGCCATTTAATTACAGTATGTTTCATTTAAAAGCTTGGATGCTGGATAAAAGCATTAAAAAACAGGGAAATTAGAAGGGCTCTTTGACACCCTCTCCTTTGGTGCTATTCACACACCGCTCTCCTTCCAGTGTTATTTTTTTTAAAAAACAAAGTATAATCAACTATAAGTCAAGTTAAAAGGCTTTTCACCAGGGAGGTCAACTCTGCTCCTGAGGCGTCAAGTGTCTTCTGGCTCATGTTGCAACCCGAGTAATCAAATCAACATCTAATCTAGTCATTTTCTTAGTAAGGAATATATGGAATTTTCTTTAGGTCTTTTCCAATTGATTACTCAAAACATTCACTTCATTAAAGGGACAGCTATCTTTAAAACACCTCCGAGCCTGGATAGATGTACTCCCATAATGCAGTTAATTAAATAATTAGATCAACAATGTAACGGAGAGCTGGGGTGGAACAAATCTCGGAAGACATTAGCCACTCCCCGAATTGAGTCTGAGAACCTTGCGTTATACCAAAGCAAAACTTAAAAGACAAGTTTTCAGTTTGGTTTGGAAAGACTCTAGTGTTGCATGTTAAGTGGGATGGAAATTCAGAATCAGTGGACGTAGCAGGTAGTGGCTCTGAATTCAGCCAAACCAAGATGATATATAATGTAGCAACCAGCATGTCTGCATTGCCAGGTGACTGTAAAGTGTCTTGATATTCTGGCATAGCATAGGGAACGGCTCCCATACCACGTGAGAACACGAGATAGGTTAAAAACAAGAAGAGCTCACTCACTCACCCTCATGCTTTTTGATTCCTTGTAATAAAAGAGCCAGTCCCTGATGAACAGTGGCACTTCAACACAACTTTTTTTTTTGTTTAAAATACATTGCTTAAGATGAAAAGTATGTAGAAATGAATATAGAAAGCAACTATTTCATATAAGAAAAAAAAATAAATTGTGTTCTGGATAACCTTGACACTATACCACTTAGCAATTCAGAAGCAAATCACGTTGGTAGCTCATAGTTAATCACACAGTCTTTGAATAGGGTTGGTAAAACTGGAGGAAAGTACTTTGTGCAAGCTCTTGACAATGTTTTTTTTATGTGGAAATGCCACATTATTATTT